CATCTCAGCCCTGGGAGACTCATTTCAGACTTCCAGCCTCCAGACTGTCAGAGAATCAGTCTGTGGAGTTTCTACCTACAAAGCTGCGGTGACGTGTCACAGCAGTGAAGTACGGGTGTCCTTCCTGCCACTTTCTGTGTGGGCCGGCCCTGGGGCCGTCAAAGACCCACAAGCATCCCGTGCAGGGCGCTGACACAGGACCCCTTTCATAACTGGACTTTACCGGCCCACAGTATCCTGCACAACCTAAGAAGTAAGCCAGAGTGCGGACTTGCTACGGCCACTGTCCCACCCACCACGGAGCAGCTCTGTGGAAACCTCAACAGAGGCCCAGCGCAGAGGCCCGGAAACGCCAAGGCCACGTGAGGGTCAGTACGTCTCTCGGTTGACCCAGGGCCCATACACGGCGCTCACAGGCCAGGCTGTGTGCGTGCATTAGCGCCCCATGCCTGGCTGCTGTCAGTCATTCCAGCGCTCAGCGTTTACCCTCGATCTCCAGCAGAACGACCAAGGTCCTTCAAGGGAGAGTGTGCGGCCATGGCAGGCTCCTGGTTAAATTCACAACCCACGACCAGTGGGTTTTACTTGGGGCCACTGCTAATGCTCCATGATCACACGCATCCCCGGCCATGACACCGCATGTGGCAAGAGAAGCAGAAAATGTTATGGGCTCATAAAAATTGTCTGCGGTTCAAAAACAATTTATTACAAGCTGGTTAAAAACATTCCTACTTGCTGGCTCATCCGGGTGACTGGGGCAAAGTGCCCAGGACCAGGTGGCCTTTCCCACCCGATGCTAGACCCAGACTCTGCAACCAGAGCCTGCAGACCGGCGGGTGCTGCGGTGGGAGCTGTGCCGGGGAGGAAGGCAGGCTGTGCCTCCTGTGCTGCGCGCACCCTCAGGGCTGCTGTGCTCCACCCCGGGTCAGCGTGCGGTGCTCCCCGTGCGGTGCTCCCGTGCGTGGTCAATCCCGACTGTTCTTTCCAGACGGCTGTAAAAGCACTTAGGCGCCTTCCTTGGAAGTAAAGCTTATTTCCGGTCACTGTTGTGTTGCTTATCTTCCCCTCCACACTCACTGCAGCCTTCTTCATTCTTCAGTTTCTGTCTCCAGAGCCTGCTCTGCTTCCTTGCAAACCATCACCTCTGAATTATTGACGTTAATGGAGACAAGGCTTCAAGAAGAGCAGAAAGCAGATGAATTACGGTGTATTAAAGTGCTTTAGAGACAAGAGCGATGAAGCGAAGAAGTCCTCCTTAGCAGAGCATGCTCTCCTCCCGCCTGTGGCTCAGCCCAGGGGCTCTGTTCTGCTGTTGGAACCGCAGCGGGCAGAGCCCACAGCAGCCCAGACGCCTGCACGGGGCACAGATGCTCACCCAAAGTCACTTGCTTTGCTCCCAAACTAGCTCGTGCCAAGTGTACTTACTACCTAATTGCATAATTAAGTGCTATGTAAACTGGTGAAGAGTGGGCACGAAAAAGATGTCACGTCCACAAATACACCTTAAATCTCTAGAAAGAACTAAGTCAAGTCTCTTAAAACTCTTGCTGTTGAATTGGGTGTGGGTGAGTCAAGACTGGGCAAGAAAGAAGGAAAAAAAAAGGTAAAAGTAGGAGATTATGCACTGTATTCATCGCAAGTGCTCCCTCCATTGCAAGTAAAGCAAAATGGAAATGGGAGATGATCCGTGAGGGCCCGCCTTCTTGCTAAAGGCTGTGAGGACGGCCAATGATGGCCTCGACCCCGAGCTACATTTACCCTTACCGATTTTAATCTAAATGGAAGCAATTAAGGCATGGGCAGAACTTCCCCCCACACTGTGGTCCATTGTTTCAGTTATGCTTCTAACTTCTGGAGCTGGCCTGGTCAGAGGCATTCCCCTCAAGTGACCAATCCCCAGAGACGGCTGATGCCTGAATGGGCCGCCTTTCTCTTGAAGGATGCGCACACAGGGATCTCCAGGCGTGAGGGAAGGGCTGGCCTCTCACTGGCTGCTCCGGCAGGGGCCAGCGGTCCCAGGACTTAATGTGTGGCCAGAGGAGAGCTGTCCAGAAGTCGGGAACCGGGCTGATCCAGGACACCCTGGGGAGCACCGGGACTCTCAGCACCACCCCAAATCTCCCACCGCTGCACCCTGTGGGCCCTGGGGCTGCGCCACATGACGTCGGACCCCCCCCCCCCCCCCCCCCCCCGCTGGTTTTCACAGCTGACAAGTGAGGGGAGCCAGTCGGCGGCAGCGCGTCCTCGCCCCGCACTCCTTCGCCTAAAAAACCAGGTGTCTGGTTTTAACTATAAGTAAAAATTGCACTTTTTCTGAGGAATTCATGAGCGTCCTGTCGATGAGCCCAAGTATACCACAGAGCAACAAGAGTCTGGGGGCCTGGGACCCGCCCCGGCGCTGGGCCCCTGCGCGTCCGCTGTCGTGACCCGGCGGCCCTCGCGGGGGCGGGCTGACAGTGACCCGGCGGCCCTCGCGGGGGCGGGCTCACAGTGACCCGGCAGCCCTCGCGGGGGCGGGCTGAGTGACTCGGCGGCCCTCGCGGAGGCGGGCTGACAGTGACTCGGCGGCCCTCGCGGTGACGGGCTGACAGTGACCCGGCGGCCCTCGCGGGGGCGGGCTGACAGTGACCCGGCGGCCCTCGCGGTGACGGGCTGACAGTGACCCGGCGGCCCTCGCGGGGGCGGGCTGACAGTGACCCGGCGGCCCTCGCGGGGGCGGGCTGACAGTGACCCGGCGGCCCTCGCGGGGGCGGGCTGACAGTGACTCGGCGGCCCTCGCGGTGACGGGCTGACCCGCGCCGTGACTCGGCGGCCCTCGCGGCAGTGGGTTGTCCTCACGAGCTGTGCTCGCAGCGGCGGCGCAGGGCGGAGTGCCTGACGCGGAGCTGGACGGAGGAAGGTTTCCCTGTCCCACCGACCTACACGCCAGGAGGGCGAGGCCAGCTCCGATCTCAACTCGGAAGCCTTCCCCAAGCCTCTTGCCCAGAGGCCCCTCCCCCTGCCTTGCCTCCCTCGGCCCTGTCCCGGTCTCTTAAGGAGGGTTCCAGCTGTGTCTCCACACAACCAACAGGTGGAGGGTGGGGACCATCTGTGCCCCGCACAGGGCAAGCAAGCAGTGAATGGTTTTTCCGTTGACGACCACTGTGAGCCCGCCCAGGCAAGTTCCCCCGATACGGAGCAAAACTTGTGCTAGAGATCATTTGAACAAGAA